CTGATTTCCACTTCACATACCTAAGCAGCATACAGATTAACAATAAATTGCACCAGTTCGATAAAAGATTTGGTATAACATAAGTACGTAACAACAAGAGTTCCTCACAGTTTTCAAATTCTCAGGAAGAATCGTTCAGCTAAGTTACTGATTGATTTTCGGATGACGGCACTAAAAAAATGTGAGATGCTTTCAAAAGAAGAACCCACCTTAGGCGAAATTACAAAATAAGGATCTGTAACTGAATCATCCATGTCGCTTCTTACTGCATCTACATAGGTATATAACAAAAGAAAATAAACTTTATAAAAACAAATCATTAATAAAAGAATCTAACAGAACAAAACGTAATCCAAACACTTCACTTTTTTTACGAAGAAAGTGGTTGTAGCTAAAGAAGATCAGTTTTTCTACATGTTTTGATTTGTGTCGACTACGTCGTTTGCTAGGAACAGATGTGGCTAAAAGTATTGTTTTTGCCAATAAGGGAGGCGTGGTATAGGAACTTCCACCACAGTAATGAGTTTTCTGTTCTCAGTATAATTGGTTCTTCCAAATACATTCGTATTTCTGCTATTGCAGTATCCAGTGGACTTGGCTTTTGTATGGTGGACAAATCAAAATTTTTGCAAAACTAAATTGTCTAATCTTTGATCATTTTCAGTGGTTTGGGTTATAGGAACACCTAAATCATTATTTGTAACTAGAACACCTTAATTTTTTTCTTATAATTGCCACCGCCTCATCTTGTAATGTGTTCTTTGCTTTTTTATACGCTTGCTCAAGTGAAAATGCCTTTTGTAATGTCATGGGGGTGAATAACAACACACAAATACCCTAAGAGTTACTTTTATTGCCAACAATACAACTTATGTACAATACAACTTAACGGCCATCATGATAAAGAGAACTAACAAGTAGGCGTATAGCGCACGCTTCACAAAACCGTAACATTCATTACAGTAGGTGCTACTTGTATGCAATACAACATATACATATGTGGTGTGTGCTATCTAACCTCTACAACTATATAATAATATTAACAAACGACAGACATCACACCTTTAATTTAAATCGCGGATCTAAAAGCGATGATTTTGCCAAAATAGTGTTGTTTTCGCATTTATCTAAGCAAGTCAAACACGACTTCATTAGGTGATATCGAAAAATATTTCACTTTGAAACCTTCTTAAAATCGAGGTCAATTCGCGAACTAAAATAATAATTTTGGAGACTGTTACATCTGTTACTGAGCTTCTTCAGTTGTAACTTGTTCATGGTTTTAATATTTGACAAATTTCTCTTAAAATTTTTCACTCTTCTTCTGACAATAATTTCACTGGATTATGTAGTAATCCAACTGTTATAGTAACAGATTTTTCTGATTTTAAAAATCGCTCCAATATATAATAGGAACAGTTTCATCTAGTGGACACGTCGTTTTTTAATTTTAAAGGAACAATGTTTGTGTTTACAATAATTTTGAATTTGTCTGCGAACTTCTGTGGAAGTACTCTACAGCTGCCTTAACTTTATCGAATTTTTAAGCGAAAAACCCAAAAACGTAACAAGTCTGTCAAAAGGGTTAAGGACCATGTTCTAAAAGAACAATAATCTGAATAAGATAATTCCTCTGCAACTTCTCTGGTTTCCGGACCAGCAAAAAAGTGGATATGTCACATTTGTCCCTCTAACAAATCCAGACTTCAAAAACAATTTTGTTCGAACTGTAAAAAGAATGTATGTAACGAACATTCATTTGTTCAACGTTTTTGTTTCAAAAGCAATAACAAGTAAAATTAAAATATTGAATACTTATTTACTTTTTTTGAAGTTAAAAGTATATGAGCTATTTATTTCCCATTAAAAAATGGTATGTGTCTGCTGGATACATAATACCCGTTTGTGTTACAAACTTTAGGTATCCGGACTAGGGTTAAATGAATACACATTTCGGCATATATTACATTTAGCTTTTTGTCCGTTTATTGTTTCGGTAAAATACAACCAAATTGCACTCTCTTTCTGTGTAGGACTCTATTTTTTATTTTATTATAGTTTATGCTGAGAGTCTAACGTATTAGATGAAAACAAAAAAAAATGTTTATCAACGTTAAAAGTTAATGAGTGTCTTCTTCTCTGCCAGACAGTCAGCCGAACGCCAGCCGACGCGCTTTGATTGATATCGATTTACCAAATCTGCATATACCTAATATACCAACACCGGATACAGAGTACTTGTTACAGTATTATTCGGTACCGGTAATACCAAAATGTACCTATATTTGACATCACTATTACGGTATTCACGATGTTTTGATCAAACGGAAATATGCTAATACGTTTGAATCCATTTTTTATAGTTTCTGTAGAAATTGATCAAGTGCTGCTTTAAAAAGTGGAGCAAACTTCACATTTGATATATTGAGGGAAGTTGGACCTTTTATTCTGTATTAGATGCCATTTTCCTCACGCCGGGTGTTTCCCTGCTGTAAGCAACTGTTCAAGGAGACCTTCGATACTAGGACTGGTTCATTATAAGTCATTTGATTCAAATAACTGCATTTATTTTAAGTTCACATAGCCACTGGCCAGATTACCCCATTGGACTTGCCATGACTCGGAGCACAGTTAAGTACATAATATTGTATTTTAGTGATATTTTTTTTTATCACGTGTGGTGATACGGTTGTTTCTTGCGGCCGGTGATGCAAGTCACAAAGCTCGCAAGATTTTTGTTTTCTTCTTATTGTTCCTGTTCTTCCGCAGGTTTATTGAGTACTTTACGGACAACATTGCATGTTCCCAAGATCGCCGCTTTCTGTAGTTCTGTATGTAATACGAACGGTTGGTCTAGGACTTGTAAGTACCTTTTCAGGTTTTTGGTAATTTCACCGGTTGCGCCAATTATTATAGGGATTACTCTCACACTTGTAGCTTGCCACGTCTCTTTCATGTCCTCGGATAGAAGTAAGTATTTTTCAATTTTTTCTTTTTCTTTTTTATGTATATTTGCAGGAGCCGGTACAGATATCTCAATTAATGTTATTTTCTTAGTTTGTTTTTCGTAAATTAGAATATCTGGCCTGTTGTGTATTACCTCTTTATCTGTCTGAATCTCTCTGTCCCAATAGACTATGAAGTTGTTGTTCTCTGCAACATTTTTTGGGTTGTATTTGTAGTACGGTGTTTTACAGTCGATTAGTTTGAGTTTGTAGCATATCTCTATGTGAAGTATTTTTGCGACGTTGTTGTGCCGATTTGCTTATAAGATGTTCGACATTTTCATGTCCTTTATTACACATCCGACACTTCGTTGTTTTTATGTTTCCATCCTTCACTATATATTTTCTATAGGATCTAGTTGGTATTATTTGGTCCTGTATGGCACAAAGAAACCCTTCTGTCTCGGGAACTATTCCTCCTCTTGTCAACCAACTCAGAGTTGCTGTTTTGTCTATGTTTTTGTCGTTGTTAAGAGTGTTATGGTATCTTCCATGAAGTTATTTTTCTTTCCATGCGTTTTCAATTGACATAAGGGTGTAGTTTTTGTCTGAGTCGAATTCGTGGTCAGACAGATTTAATGGAGTAAGTTTTCTGTCTATTTCGGTTATGGCTTTGTGGACTGGCAAATGTTCAGTTTTAGAATAGAAGTATTTGCTTTTTACATCTCAGGCGGAAATCTGTGATTCCTCTACCCCCGGCATTTCGTGGCAAGTGAAATCGTTCTTTACACACTTTGTGATGATGCTTTCGATGTTTTGTAAAGGCAACTCGAGCTATTGTATTGAGTTCTTCTAGTTCTGTGATCGTCCATGCAACTACTCCGAAACTGTAGGTAACTACTGGTGCTGCATATGCATTGTAGGCAGTCGCTACAGCAAATCTTTTCGGTTTGATTTTTCTACAGGTATAATTGTTCTTATATTGTCTTTAGGCATTAACTACAGCTAGATCAATGAAATGTTGAAAAACTTTTCTTCTTTTCTGAAATGTTCTATAGTACTCTAAAAGTTTGATCAAAAAGGTTTACGCCGAGAATATTTTGGTTGTAGTTCCAAACTACTTACGGAGCAGTAACCTGGACAAATGACTTCTTTTTTTGTCTCACCTAGATATAAAAGACGTTTGATTCCCACCGGTACAATTAAAGATCATAAGGATCGCTCTATTATCCTTCCATTTCACTGAGGCCACATCTTGAGAGGTGAACTCTCTACGTTTCATTGACTAATCCTTTTTAAGATCCAACTTTTTGTGATTTAAAACACGGTTAAACATAATTGTTCCAGTGCCATGTAATTGCATCTCTCTAAGTAGATCTAAGAACGGTATTCTGTTAAAATATCGATCAAAGTAAAGGCAACTGTTTGCGGGAACATTTTTTGCTAGACCCAAAATCATAGCAGGTCCTTTATCGGAGAAGACTGAGTTATCTGGAAAATATAATTCAAAATATAGCATTAAATCATCGCTTGTCGCAAAAACATAATTCTAAAGTCCAAGAAGTCTTGGCTTATTTTTTACAAGAACTCGTAGTTTGCATCTTTCAGTGAAGGGTATCATCTGTTCATCTATTAAATAGAATCCAGGAACTCTCTCAATTTCTATAAGCCTTCTTATTAGCCTCTAGTATAGGTTAGACCTTCTAAAAGTCAAAACTTGACCTTTGATTGAAATCGACGCTATTTAGCAAAAAAAATACAATTTATGCCTATGAAACTGAAAATATCCATCTACTGTACAATATACCAAGCAAATATCTACCACAATAATCCGCGGAAGGGCGCTAAAATCTGTTACGGCCCTTTTTATTTTTACAAGTTTGTAAACTATACTCATTTATTCTGGGCTAGTTGTTTACGTTAGAAGAGCAAAAAGGTTTTTTTCTTTTTTTTTTTAACATTGATATGACGTATAGTCAGGAGTTTTAGTTTACTTAATATTCATTGCAAAATGTCTCCTCTTAGAAATGATATATAGATTATACAGATAAACAATTACGGAGTATTAAATATACTAGTGGAGTAACTATCTATTGGTGCAGTAGGATTAACTTCCTCAAGCTCTTTCTGAAGAGTGCTGTAGACTGTTGAAGGGTATGTTGCCTTAAGATGCGAAGTATTTGGACCAGAGTCTGCTATACAAACAACATCCAACTCATCTTGAGAACTCTTAGGGTTTTTGTGTTGAGCATGATGAATCAAGAACATCGTAAGACTATTCCACACTGCAGCAAGAAGGGTAAAACTCCATCCATATATGTCTTTAAGAATTGAGTCCAAGATCCATTTTACCAACTGAATTAAAGATATGACACCAATCACCCCTGCTGATAGTGTACCAAATGTAGAGAATCTATCCCAGAGTTTAGTCCAGAATTTCTTACCGATTTTCTCTAGTCTTTCCTCTGTCAGAAAATTAGCATAAACCCTTCCTTGAGTATCTGGACCCCTCCCTAAGAATGACCGGCCTAAGATATTCGTAACTGCTTTTCGTTCCTCTCCGTACATAAGATGATCTCCTTATTCATCCAAATCCGATTGAGAATATATTCCTGCACTGGCAAGATTCCCAGGTGAAATATACTCCCACTGTAGATTACTATTAGCGTCTAGTTGTTCAGGATGTTCTGTCCTTATGGGTTTCCTTCAAGGTAATATTGGACTCCTAGTATATTATTACAAGTAATTTCTTGGCCCTTTGACAATATACTATGGTACGTAGGAGACATAAACATTGATTGATTGTTGTAAGTAATTGGGAGTTCAGTAGGCCTTCGTGACACTAAGACAGGGTTACATCTGGTTATATAGATCACTTCACCCATAAGCATCCCAGTATATCCTGGTCCACCTCCAATTGAATATGCAAATTCGTTTGGATTGATAACAGCCAGAAATATCTGATTCATCATTGTCTCATACCTTAAATTGCACTTCTGTGCCTCAATATATGTATAACTTTTTGAGGTTATCAGCCATAACTTTCTCTACGTGCATAAATTTTGAATTCACATATGTGAATAGGTCCATTTCAGTTGATTTTATCGGCTGCTGAACATGAAAAGAGTACCCCTGTTTTTTGACCAATAGTAACTGATCAGTTGTATAGGCACTTAGATGACAAAGACTGTATCGTCTTCCCACACGAAAAGATAAGAGGACATCTCTCTGCACTGTGGAGATTATTGAACCTTCGTATTGAGAACTAGGGATTCCTACCTTTCTTGTAACATTAACAGGTCCTGCATAAAATACCTTATAGGTTTTTTGATGGCATGAGTCATCTTTTGTAGGTTAATAATAATAATAATAATAATAATAATAATAATAATTTATTTACAAAATAACGGTTCCCAATAGGTTTCTTCCTCTTTGTAGTCACTACATGACCCCCTTGAGTAGTCGCATGTCACTCCTGTGCGTAGGTGTATAGTATTCTTTGTTAGATCGGCTGGTGATTTTGCCTGTCCTAATGTGACTCTTATTGTCCCAGAAACCACAACATCGTTCAATTGTCCAAGCGGATCAACATAATAGGCTCCTTTACAAGAATAGTCTTCTTTAATAGTTTCTGCTAATGCTATTGATTGCAAAAGACTAGTATCCGGCATTAGTTCAACGACAGCCCGTCCAGTTTTTATAGCATCTAGACATCTATTTCTTCCCATTATAAAGAGATAGTTCCCTAATCCATTTGTCACCGCGAAAGTATGACTATACAGTACAAGCCGAGAAACTTCAATAAGACAATTAAAAGTTGTAGCAGTAATAGTTTCTCCCATCTCAAGAAGCTAGTCATAAAACCAGTACCTAATATTAGCATATGCGGTAATGACTGTATGACTATTACATCCATTATTCTGATTTTATCTCTAAGTAAAATACAATTCCTTGTGTCTTAACCCATTAACGCTCACTATTTTTTTAATCGAGAATATTTTGTTTCATCGATTTTTTTTAATAATTTAGGCTTCCTGAACATCTAAAAAATAGTAAAAAAAATCTAGGCTGTCATATGACAGATTTATAGCATGGGTCGTTTACGACCCACTGAGCACATAGCATATAGGTAGGTAGTAATAAGGTAAGTATTTGAAGTAAAATATCTTTTATTCAAAAATTCAAAATACAAAAATACAAAAAACACAAAAAAAAACAAAAAATACAAAATAATATTCAAAATACAATATTATTTATGATATATTGCAAAACATTTGTCATGAAGTGCAACTTCGCAAGTAGAACATCCCTTTATAGTTTTATTTTTACAAACAACGCACCTTCTTCTGGGCAAATCAGTTAAAATTATATGACTGGCGTTTATTCGGGCTGGTAATGGATAACTTCTAGTTGAAGTTGGCCCAGATCTTAGAGGTGCAGTTCCATATTTAGCCAGAAGTGCATTGACCACTTCTCTTCTGAAAGACAAGTTGTCAAGGGATAATCCACAACTTCTTGCCACATGCCAGGCATTATTCATTGCCACATCGAATAGCCACAGAATAATGGGCATATACCATTTTTTACCACGCATGGATATTCTATAATTAGATATATTGTTGTCCATTTGGTCCACACCACCCATATTCCTATTATATAAGGAGATAACGTTGGGTTGAGGAATATTTATTTTTGCCTTGTCCTTCGCAGAGTATCGCGAGGCTTTCTGGACGGGGTTTGCTCCGAACTGGTTTGAGAGTAATGTAACATTACTGTTATCTTTCCATCGTACGGCAACAATGTTATGATTTGGATCAAGCTTGGTGTCATAAGATCCTCTATCTTTTTTTTTGTAAAATGCATCATCAGGTAATCCGCAATTTTCTGTACGATTTTGTCGTACGGTGCCTGTTGCTGCAAACCCTTTTTCTCCCAACGAAGTAACAAGTTTAGCAGACGTAAAGAAATTATCAAAATAGAGCGAAAATTGGATACCATCATAATGCTCCTTCAAAATATCTGCAAATTTCATAACCACATGTTCTCCGAGACCAAATTCAACTTCACCATCTTTTCGACGACCCTGATAAATGTCTAGCTGAGCACAATACCCAAGACGAAGGGCTAAAACCCAGGCTTTAAACCCAAAACGAATGGGTTTGCCACGGATGAATTGCTTGCATCCGTGGCGACCAAAGTATGGAATCATCGATTCATCTACAGAGAGAGACTGCTCAATTGGCATATATTTGAGAAACTTCTCATTCAAAACATTTATCAAAGGTCTTACTTTTGCCATTTTGTCAGATCTATCTATTACGTCATTATTCACGAGATGTAGATTTCTAAAAATTTCTTCAAATCTCCTTCTTCTCATAGATTTTGACACTAAAATATTTTGCACATCACTTGATTCCTCCCAATACATTCTACGTCTGGGAAGAATATTGTACCCGCTAAGAAATAAAATTCCAACAAATGTATACATTTCTGAACTGGATAACGTTAGAGTTCTATTTTGAGAGGCTGCGTATGTAACAGTATTTCTTACAATGTCGTCAATAACTTCTTTTGTTATAAATAACTCAAAAAAATCCAAGGGGTGCGTACTGCTACTAAAAGTCAGTGGCATTGGAAAAGATCCTGTCCACTCCGCGAACAGCGGCTTTTGCAAGTCTCCGTCTACCCATGTTCTGACTTCTTTTTTTGATTTTTTACTTTTCCTAGCGGGTGCCACAATGTTTTCAGTAACGTTACAGCTTTTACTATTATTATCATCATCTTCCAAATCTTGATCTTGATTTTGAAATTCCTCAGCCGGTGTATTGTTTATATAAAGTTCTGCTTCTGCTAACAGCTGATTTTTATTCAGCCGATCAGGATCATTTGAGTCGTCTTCCCCGGAATCTTCATCCGTTATGTTTCCAGTATCATTAGGTGGAGTAACGTATATATCATATTGATTAGGATCATCATCGTCAATATTTTCTAGCTCCGATAACAATTCATGGGTTGTAAGTGGTCGCCGCCTAAAATTTTAGTAAAATAATATTATACACATATTATACAAATAATAATTACTTGTGATTACCTTTTCCTCAATGTTTGTTTGCTCATTTTTAACAAATTAGACACTAAACTAAACCACTAAACCAAATCAAGCGCATGTGACAGCAATTACTACATAACCTCAAAAAAGTACTTATGTGCTCAGTGGGTTGCTAACGACCCACGCGAGTTCTGTGATGAATAACTCGAACGGTGTATTATTTTTGCAAAGTATTTCAACAGAATACTAGATTTCAAAGATATTTTAACATATAATCACTACTCATTTTAGGAAAAAATAAAAAATAAATATTTTATGTGTTGTCATAACTGATGGTGTAAGCTGGGTAATGGTAACTAAAAATAAATAATTAGTTTTTTTTACAACAAATGCGAATAATCGAAACATTTATAAAAATTGTTTGAAATAAATATACAAAGAAGTGATTTTGTGTAAAAATAAAATTATAGAACTGAAATACAGAAGAAAAAAAAATTAAATACATACGGGGTCGTTAACGACCCGCTGAGCGTTAATGGGTTAAATAGGATTTAACTAGAGCGTAATATGCACTTTCAACTGGTTTAAAACCTATTTCTTTTGCCACAGTTCTGACTGCAAAACATCTAGAAGAAAGTTTTTTGTTTTGCAATTCTATATGTTTCTTACATTTCTAATTGTCTAAATTAATGCCCAGAAGTTTTATTTAATTTATCTACTCCTATTAATTTATATATTAATTATTCAACTGCTTTTGAGCAATTAATAGTATCAATAAACAAATAGCGTGAGTTTTAACAGTGAGTTGTTATAACCAGGGATGTTGCGGATGTGATATTTTCCAACATCTGCAGATGCGGATGCAGATTTTTTGAGTTCCATGTCTGCAGATGCGGATGCGGAAGTTGAAAAAAAAAAACAAAAAACTAACATACTATTAGGAAAATTAACGAACGAAGACATTAAATAAAACAAAATACTAGAAATAACTGAAAGTAGGTGTATATTGCCTAATAACTAAATTTTAAAAGAGGTAAGTTATACTTTAAAAATAATAATTTAGCTGCTTTGTCAGCTTCAAGTCGATTACGTAGTGGCTCATAAATTAGCCCTGCTCCACTAAATAGTTGCTCGCTTGGTACACTACCTGGTGGCGCCGATAGATATTTTCGCGCAGTTGCTGAAATTGTCGTGTATTTGTGACCGTTTATATTCCACCAGTTAAATGGATTTTCAGTTATCGGCAACCTTTTTCTTGAGAGTAGTTTTTAATTTGTCTAGTAACAAGTGAATCTGAAGTTGATGTAGCATAAGCACTAGTTTCATCATCGCTGGAGGAGTCAAGCATCATTTCTAGTTCACTTTGTAATGACTTACTGCAGCAAGGGCTATCAATAGATATTTTTTTAATTTTTTTTGGTGGACTCTCATTGATATTTGCGTCACTTGTAGCTATTTTCAATAATTCACTTTCAATTTGATCTTTAATAATGATTTTAAAGAATTTGGCTTTGTATCTAGGATACAAGTAAGTCGCTAAAGTATATAAGAAATTACTGTCCAAGTTTTGAAATTTGGAACTGATTTCAGTTTTAATTTTGGTTACAAATTTCTTAATGTTTTCCGGATTCTGGTCATTATTTAGCTCTTCGTCCATTTTTTTAAATAGCATGTAAATTATTGGTTTCACAGATGATATCAAAACGTGCGAGCTACTTAATTCTCGTGTTGCCTGCTCAAATAGTCCTAATACATTTATGCAACATTCCATTTGCTTCCACTCTTCAGGTAAAATAGTGGGTATTTGATGATCATTAATATAAATACTTAAGGCATCCTTCACTATAAGAAACCTCTCAAACATATAAAACGTACTATTCCATCTTGTTGGTACATCTTGGAATATGGATAACTTTTTCTGGTTTAGCCGTTCTTGTATATCAATGAAAGCCTTTTGAGCTATAGTGGAATGACCAAAATGTGTGGCTATTTTCTTACATTTTTCCTTAATATTTTGTAAGTGTTCGTCGTTTTGAAATCCGGCTTTGATTGCAAGCTGGAGTTTGTGCACTGTGCAATCAACGTCATTAATACCAGATAGGGCCATGGCTCTTTTCATGTTTGAACCTCCGTCACGGATCATACAGTGTACTTGATTTTTAGAAATGTTCCACTCAGCAAGCATGGATTCAAATTTGTTGGCAATTACGTCTCCGGTATGGCGATTATCAAAAGTCTCACATTTTAATATTATTGATATTCGTTCAAATTCTGTAGTGACTCCATGACATGTTAGGCTAAGCAGCGATGTCCCAGAACTTGGGTCAGTCCAAATATCTGTAGTAAACGACATAAAATCTAGTTCTTTGATCAAATATTTGACTTTCGCAGCCACTTTGTTATATAAATCTTCGCAAACGTAATCAGTAAAAAAATTACGACCTCTTAAATTGTACTTCGGCGCTACCTCGAACATTAGTCTTCTAAAGCCGATACCCTCGACAAAATTAAATGGTAAATCCTGCAATGCTATCATTTCACCTATTAACTTATCAATGTTTTGTGATTTTGGATATGCCTTATCCCATTTCTTCTCCTTGTTAAAGACTTCCTCCAAACTTAGTTGCTTTTTTGCAGCTTGAAGTGGCGTGGATATGATTTCACCTGAAAAAAAAATATAATTGTTGATATTCTTCTTTATTACGTCGGCCAGAAAAATAAATTAATTTCATTTGAGATGTTTTTTATACTTCAACGCCCAGTTGCAAGAAGGCTTGTTAAATCTCTCAATAGCTAATGTTTATTAGACTATGCTTATTTTGACGTTGATGTCATCAGAACAGGTAACATTCGCTAGCTCTGTCAAAGTTTATTACTTTTAACAGAGCCTGAGAATGTAATCTGCTTTAATCACATTGATGTCAAATTACGTATAGTCTAATAAACATTAGTTATTGAGAGATTTAACAAGCCTTCTTGCAACTGGGCATCAGTCTCTTCTATAAATTCGACAATATGTCAAAATTTTCCAGATGACAAATGACGTTTTTTTATAGAAAAGCCCTCTGAGATCTTACTAAGTACTCAAACCATCTTTAAAGAGTGAAAATTTGATAATATATCAAAGCTGTCAAAATAAGAGATGACATTTTTTCATCATAAAGTGATCTAAAACATTTCACATTACTAAAACCGTCTTTGAATCATAAAAAATGGACAGTATAAACTGTTAAAATGAGATGAGAAGTGAAGCCTTAAACTTATTTTTAGGAGCCAGTCTAATTATATATCATAAAAAAAAAACTAAACAAATCCAAACAAAAAAAAATGGTATGGTTTTGTTTTTAATACAAAATATAAAATTTTAAAATGAAAAACATGATCTAATAAAGATATTTAAGTACTTACTTATTTTGCATTCCTTTTTTGCCTTTTGATCAGCATCGGTGCTCGTATACAAAGAATATTCTTCGGGGTGCATCGATTTTAAATGATTTTTGAGTGACGTAGTTGTTCGTCCTTTCCTTGAATAAATCTTATTACAGAGAGCACATTGGGCGCTCTCATTTTCCATAGGATTAAAATACTTCCAAATAGTACTCTGTGTTGCTGGAGCCATTATATAGCTTATTTTAAAAAGTCAATAATCACTATGAGTATTACAAAAACTATTTTTTCATCATAAACACGAATTTATAAAAGTTTTATTTGCAGTTCTAACGCATGCACACGAAATTTAGCAAGCCTATCATACCATCTTATCATCATAACTTATAATAACGAACTAATCGTTCTCAACGCTCGTTGCATAACTCGCGTAGTCAAGTCAAGACTGGCTCACCGCTGTTCAATGCGATTGGTCAGCAAGAAAATTACGCGTTAGTCGTTGTTTGTTTTTCCACGATTCGCACATCCGCATCCGCTTCACCTCCGCTTCAAAATTATGCGGATATGATGCGGATGCGGAACTAATAAAACTGATGCAGATGTTCCGCATATGCGGATGCGGACATCTGCAACATCCCTGGTTATAACTCACGCTGGGCTCCTACGATAATTCGGCATATAAATAGTGTGCGCAGTAAATTCTTGGAAATTTTAAAGTCTATGAATGTTCCATTGGCGTAAAATGTTAAAAAGATTTTTTAACAACTGGAAAGGAATGAATAATAATTAAAAGATCTTAAAATTATTAAATTGTCAACACCTCTCAGTAGGCGGAACAGTCAATTATTACGTTGATGGGAATAATGTCATTTAATATTTTAAGAAGATAATTTTGACGTTTTCAAATCAATTTCTAATAATAGTGTTAAAAAAAGATGAATTTATATAGTAAAGATGAGTTATTATGTACACCTCCAGAAATAAGAGAAATAGCTAATAATGCAATACAGAATTTATTATCAGAAAAATCAAAAAACAAGTATAAAGGTGTATACTAAAATTTTCAAGATTGGTGTAACTCGTTTACAGAAAATGTACCTTTGGCATATTTTAATGAACTTAGCAATAAATATAAATCATCGCCTTTATGGACTTCTTTGCTAAGAAGCACAATCAACATATACAGGGTGTTATTGAAATACACGTACATATTAAAATGGGGAATAGTATGTAATGACCAAAAACGATTGGCACCAATTTTAACTTCAAATTCTAAAATTTAAATATTGGGGAAGAGTCCCCTCTTCCGACCTACTAGTTTCCATATTTAAAGAAGTAAAATAAATCGAAATTGAACTTACCCATAGAAATTGCACTGTTGCCGTAGCAAAACCAATTAATTCAAAATAAAGTTTATTACAGTAATTGTTCAAAATGCCGTCCATTATTATTTACACACACTTGCAATCGTCTTTCCAAAGAACTTTGAACATTAGAAATTAGTCTTGGATTTTGTCATAGTTCCTCGGCTACCGCATTAACTTTATTGGTTAATTGTTCAACACTATTAATAGGTTCATTATAAACCAGTTGTTTCATGTGGCCCCACAAAAAGAAATCGCATGGATTTTAGTCCGGAGATCTCGGAGGCCACTTAGTAGATCCACTTTTGAGGAAATCT